GGCAGTATTTTGTTTGACTGATGAGACTGACTGAAACCCAACAATGGCAAATACTGGTTCCCATTTGTTCCTATTGGTACCTCCAAGGCTGGAAGTTTCTGTCTTCTATACGTCCTGACACCTGTGAGTTCTGGTCGTCTGTTTTGTTCTTGGCCAATTTTCTAGTAAGCTCTTCAGTTACAAAGAATTGGAACCCTTTCCCAGGCTACTTGCTTTTTAAGGTTTTGGGTGATGGTGTCTAACATACAGAGCATAACATTTTAACTGTCAAAGAAATTCCTTTTCCTTTTCTTGGGTAGCTTCTTATAGGCTTATAGAGTCCGTCTCCATTCCAAGTCATATTCACTTGCATTTTTCTTTTAGTTGATCTAGAGTTTCTTTCTTTCAACTATTCCTGAAGCACTGGCTAACCAGCTCCTCTTTTCTAAACGGTTTGTGATGGGATGCCATCTTTTTAAAAAATATATATTTTTTATTGATTTTTAGAGAGAAAGGAAGGGAGAAGGAGAGAGAGGGAGAAACAACAATGTAAAAATGTAACATTGACTAACTGCCTCCTGCATACCCTGCATGGGGATCGAACCTGCAACCTGGGCATGTGCCCTGAATGGGAATCCAACCGTGACCTCCTGGTTCCTAAGTTGATGCTCAACCATTGTACCACACTGGCCGGGCTGAATGATGATATTTTCAATTTATAATGGGTTTATTGGGATGTTGAAAAGCATCTGCAGTTAAAATTCCAAACACTCTTAAACTCTGACCAACGACTTCTTGGTAGGTCCTGCCTATGTTTATCTATAGAAGATCTTTAGCAACAGTTAGACCCTGCTCGCCCAGTTCCACTGGGCTTTATTTATTTATTTATTTTTAAAATATATTTTATTGATTTTTTACAGAGAGAAAGGGAGAGGGATAGAGAGTTGGAAACATCGATCAGCTGCCTCCTGCACACTCCCTACTGGGAATGTGCCCGCAACCAAGGTACATGCCCTTGACCTGAATCGAACCTGGGACCCTTTAGTCCCCAGGCCGACGCTCTATCCACTGAGCCAAACCGGTTAGGCCTCCACTGGGCTTTAGAATGTTATTAAACTTATTAATAGCATCTTGCAATTATTCATGTCTTCTTTTGTGGGTGTCAGCAAAGGATAATAGTTTTCTTCATAAAAGGTCCTGCCTTTTTGGGGTAGATTTTCAGTTACTATTATAAATTCTCTTCACCAGCATTTCGACATCTAGTTATATCATAACATATAAAAACCATTACCTGTTGATATTTTCAGAACTGTTTAATCAATCCACCAAGTAGCAAGTTCCATGCCTACTATTTGCCAAGAGTAACATACCAGGAGCAACACCCAACATTTAAAAACTGTCCTAAGGACACACTAAATTGAGGCATAAAATCTCTGTTATCTTGGCCCAAACCCCGAGAGCTATTGCCACAAAACCTCATAAGCATGTCTTCCTGGAAGAGTAATCCAGGAATGAAGCAAAACCTGTCTGAGGATTCCAGCCTATCACAGGCCACCAGGTAGCTGCTTTCACATTTATACTTCCTGTGTTATTCTCATTCTAAAAATGCAACAGGAAATGGAACACCTTGGTCACTAGGTTTTTCATTAGTCATCAAAGTGGTCCAGCTCTATCAACTTGCAGTCCTTCTAACAGGGAGAGAGGAACAGATGGAAATCAAGGGAATGATTCATGACATAGCTGTGACAGTACTGAAAATTCTTGCTGTAGTGACTGGGAAAGAGAAAGAATGCTAAACCCTGCCCCATCACAGCATAGAAAAGAAAATCACTTGAGACCACAGACAGGTGACCGACACAGGCCTCCATAATCTTTTAGAGGAAATGTTTCCTCACCAGGAAGAATCTTTCATTCACTCTGGAGATAAGACTATGGGTTTCAAACAAGGCTGGCTCCTTTAACAGTGCTGGAACAAGACCTGGAGGTGTCCCTAAAACCTTTCATTTTCTGGGCTGGTGCCATGGATGGGCCTGAACACTCATACCACCTCCAGAGCAAGCCCTACACAGAGGGAGCAAACAGCTGGCTCCACTTCTCCCTGAAAATCTATCTTCTATATATATAAAAGGCTAATATGCAAAGTGTCCCCTCGGGAGTTCGACCACTCGCTATGACAAAGCGCTGACTACCAGAGGGCGGTGCGGAACGAAGGAAGGCCCCGGCTGGCAACTGGCAGCTGGGGTAGGGAGGCCCCGGCCAGCAGCTGGAAAGTCCCGATAGGCCCTGATTGCCGACCAGGCCTAGGGACCCTACCCGTGCACGAATATAGGTGGTACTTGGATGTAAAATCATGCAGTTGGCACAAAATGAAGATCAGGGATCACTGTGTTATTGAGTCACTCTGCAGACCACTAAAGTCAAATATTAATGAGCTGAACCTCATTGGTTTCTCTCCCCTGACTTGGGGACCCAAACCAGAAAGTAATGTTTTCAGACTTGGATGCAAAATTAAGTATCTATTTTAAGTTTGAAAAGAATGACTGAATTAACAATAAAAAGTTCATTAAAAGTTCCATTTGGGCCTGCCGGCATAGCTCAGTGGTTGAGTACTGACCAATGAACCAGGAGGTCACGGTTCGGTTCAATTCCCAGTCACAGCACATGCCTGAGTTGCGGACTCAGTCCCCAGTGTGGGGTGTGCAGGAGGCAGCCAGTCAGTGATTCTCTCTCATCATTGATGTTTCTATCTCTCTTTCCCTCTCCCTTCCTTTCTGAAATCAATAGAAAATATATTTTAAATAAAAGTTCCATTTGGGAAAAATGTTCATATTATATTGGGGAAGGGTAGAGGGAAGAGGCAAATCAGGTATGCTCCCAAACTCTCAAGCACAGTCAATGTGGCAATGGGCCCACGCTGCAACAGCAGCAGTCATCTCCAGGCCATCTTTTCTACCTTTTCTCTTTATTCTTCAGAAAGTTTTCCAAACTTTCTTAAATCATCATGGTTTACATTTATTACAGAAAACACCTCAAACATTATCTAAAAGTTTTCCATTTCTGCAAATAAAATCTTTTAATACCGTTAGCAAGTACATACTCTCAGGGATTTTACTAGTAATTGGTTTTAGTGACATGTTCTCATCTCTTACAGGAACCTCAAAGGAGAAGTGCCCCTGCCCACTGAACGAAGGCGCTGGAGTCTAAAGTAGCTCATACAGAACCCAATGCCACAAATATCAGTCCTCAACGGTATCTATACAAAACACCATTAGGGCCAGCAGAAGTTGTCCTGTGCACAGTAGCAAATTAAACATGACCCAGTCAGTAAGGGAACAGTAACTAGAGAGCAGGGATTAGGCTGATGTGCCCTGGAAATCCTGGTGAGGCTGGCACCTCTGACCATGGAGTCCATGAGACAGGTCCCCAAACAGGTTTGCTCAGGCTGTGAAGTCATTCTGGTGCCCCAAGCTGATGGCAGAGAAGTAGGGCTGCTTCTGCTTTCTGAGAGTGCAAGACATTGGAAGCCGAAGCCCTTCTCTCACTGAATGACAGCACCCCAGAAGAGAGCCTGGAAAACTAGAGACAAACTACACCCAAATGGAAAACAACAGGCTTGCCATGCCACCCACCAAAGACGAAGATGTAGATGGGAAGAAAACCCAGCTGAATGGAAACAGCTGGTAAGGTAGGACCTCAGCCAGAAATACTGCCATCAAGAGCTAGTGGAATAGATTTGGAATTTGCATAACACTTCTAAACTGGGGGATAGAGGGAGGAAGGGGAAAGATGGAGGGAGGAGGATGACTCTTCAGTAATCTCTGACGGAAGAAGTGCCCTTACCAGGCACAGGTATGACACAGTCTTATCTCCCAGGCACTCGATCCTTTGTTCAAGGCCATGGAGAGAGACTCCAAGGAGCAGAGGTCATCTGTTCTATGACTGTCAAACAAAATGTCACAACAAGACACAGCAAAGGGGCCTTGAGTCAACTCAGGAGGAGCTCACATCTTACATCACTGACAGGTGTTAGTGCCAATGATGCAAGGTGGCCATAGAGCATGTCTGGAAACTCCGATCTGGGCAACTGCCAGGTTTGGGGTCAAAGGTAAAAAAAGATAAAAAGAATGAAAGTTCATTTCTAAAATAAAAAAAGGATACACATCTAATATTTTAAAGAAAGGGAATTCGAAGTACACGGATTTTCTCTCAACTGAACTCACACTCAGTTTGGAGAAGCTCGAAATACTTTTCATGGCAGCTCCTCTGTGCTATTTCATCCAGGAACTTTTGTGGAACATTACAATGCTCACCTTCCTTAAACTGAGCAGAACTGGCCACGGAAGTCCCCAACTGCACTCAGGGGCCACCACGCCCCTTTCCTGGACTACCCCGGGGGCCCCTCCTGCCTGGCCTCCAAGTGCACACTGTCTTTGAATCCCTTCCTGCCCTATGCCACACAAGGCAGGAGGCTCCTAGTCCCAGCTCACCTGGGTGGATGCTTGCCAGCAGAAGAAACCCAATCCCTCCCTCCCTCTGGAATGCCCACCTCGAGTAAAGTCCGGTGCATTCCCCTCCAAGGACTATCATTACTTTTTATGATCCACCCAGCTGGCTGTAACCCCTCCTCCAACCTCTACCATGCTGCGTGGCCCTCTCTTATGGACCTACACACAAGTAAGAATGTGATCTAACTTGTATTTCCTATTCCCATTTCTCAACTGTGTCTCTCACAGGACTGAGCAGAAGGCCTGTAGCACATGCCAACACATGCTGAATCAACAAGGCCAGAGCAAATCCCAGACCCCTGACAGGGTGGCTGTGATGGAGTAGGGCTTTCCAATGACAGTCCTTCCAAGGGAAGGTGGGAATAAGTT